CACGTAAGTTTATCAGGGGACACTGTGGCATCTTCGTCTGGTTTTGCTGGCGTTGGTGTCGAACTGAGCGCTAGATCTGAGGCAGCACTGACCGACTGGATCCCCATTAACAGTCGGTTATATGTTGTTAGGTTAGAAAGTTCCATCAAATTACGAAATCGATGTGAGAAACGATGTCTTTTCGTCATCTCCGCCTATGCTCCGACAGATTGCAGCCCGTACCACCGAAAAGTATAAGTGAGCATTGGTTGCAATGGCATGACGCCATGAAAATGGCGAGTAAAGTTGCCAACGGCTTCGCGAAACATCCCGCTTATAAGCTCTGGGTTTCTTCAGACTCCTTACAACTCATTAAAACCCGTCAGTCTACTTCGGGTGACTGCGAGTTTGACCATAAACGAAGACTGTTACCTAATACAGTTGTGCAGAGCTTGTGTAAGGGCCGAGAAGCCTGGTGGTCGGAGAGTGCCAATGGGTTGGAAGCAGCAGCTGCATCTGGTGACTGTCGGGAGCTCTTTCACTTCATCCGAGCCACTGGCAGCAAGAAGTCTGGTGTGAGTGAGACGATCTGTGGAGATTATGGGATGTCAATCACAAACATCTGCTGACGCCTTGGACGATGGGCAGTTTTTCAAGGAGCAGTTCAACTTGTCTGTTCCTCAGTAACATCGATCAGACTGTTCTACCCTCCATGACCTGTGAAAACTGATCCACTCAACGAGGAGGAAGTTTACAAGGAACTCAAACTCTTAAAGTGCTATAAATCACCAGGCCTGGAAGACTTACCTCCGGCCCTTTTAAAGATGGTGGCAACTTTATAGTTATAGAGCTGAGTTATTTACAAACGTCTGGCAATTTGAAAGTGTTCCAATATCGTGGGATGAGTCGATAGTTGTTCCTACTTTTAAAAAGGGTTCACGTTATTTTTGCAACAACTATTGGGGGATAAGTTTACATCCGACTGCGTCCAAATTATTAGCTTCTGTCATATTTCGTAGATTGTTCAAAAACCCACAAAAAGTGACTCGCGAGGAGCAGGCTGGTTTTTGTTTTGGTCGAGGATGTAGTGATCATATATTCACCCTATGCCAAATGTTAGAACACCGTCATACTTATCACAAGCCAGCAATCGTAGTGTTTCTTGACATCAGGACTGCCTTCCATTCGTTGGACAGGACTGTTCTCTGGGATTGTCTATGCAAGAAGGGTGTCCCAAAGAAGTTTATTACCGTCTTAGAAGTCCTATATACAAACACCTCAGGTAGAGTGAGGGCATACAACCACCTTTCTCCATTTTTCCATTCAAGCAGTGGGGTTAGGTTGTGTTTCCCAATCTCACCATTCCTCCTCAACTTTGATACCGACGACGTTCTGGAAACAGCTCTGATGGATGTAGATAATGGCAGTGTGGTTCTACTATCTGGAGAAAGACTTCGCCAGCTTGAGTATGCGGATGAAATTGTCTTACTGTGCGATGATACCCAAGCCATGCAATCCGCATTTAATCAATTGGTAATCAATGTCCATAGGTGTGGTATGTGCTTTGCACCTTTGAGGTGCAAAGTACTTTTACAAGACTAGTAGGACGTTAATCCTGCATTCACCCTGTGTAGTGAGTGGATAAAAGTAGTTGAGAAGTTCGTTTATCTGGGTGGCTGTGTAAGTGCTGGTGATGGCGTGAGTGATGAGACCAATGCATGTATAGTGAAAGCCAGAGTGGCTTTCTTCATAAAAATAAACGTAACTTATTTAACTGAAAGGATTCTTTCTGGTTATATTTTTGCTAACTGAACTGTTTCCTCTATTATTATTATTATTATTATTATTATTATTATTATTATTATTATTATTATTATTATTATTATTTCAATCTCATACACTAATTTCTGTTCGTTATTATACGCACTTTACATTCTCTAACTTTTTACAATATCATTGCTATTGTGTGGCGCATATGTATTTGGTGCCCCCTTGTACCAATGTTTATGTGTTCAAATAAATAAATTCATCTTGACTTACTGAAGTAAAGGAATACGATGATCTGATAAGATGGTAATACACACGCAGGAATGATGGGATAAAGATGATAGTAAAGAAATTTCGGCAAAGTTATACGACAGATTTACCATTGTTTTCCTAGATGAACCAAAATATGGAGTACGCAAAACTACGGAAGTCATGTGAAGAACATCGACATAACACGTGAATGTGTGTGTCCATATATTATATAACTAACTTGAAAATACAGATAAGATGTAGCACCAAATAAATTAGCCATGTACACATAAGGTAAATGTTGGCAGAATTAGAATGAATTGGTAATGCTAGTGTATCAGACGTTCATCTGCCAAGTTGATTGCGGTTTAAAATACATACACTCACATGATTTATAGTACAAAAATGTCAATTGTAAATAACAGGGAAGTAGAAATATTGTAGTCTTCTTAATTAAAGGTCAATCAATTCATATAAATAAGAATAAACATAGTAATATAACACATTAATGAAGCAATATTCCATAAAAACATCAATTTAAGCAGAAGTTATTGGGCTTGTAATTTTTAGCATTGATACTAGTTAATACATCTTGACTTTAATACAGGTAAGAAAAGTATTAATTAGAACTAGTGCAATGTTGAATAAAATCCCCAGTTATGTTTTATATGTTATTGATAACAGTATTTTAAACTATTCTTAATCAAAATATATCACAGTAGTATACTGTTATCATTACTAATTTTCTTTACACTTGATGATAAGATGAACCTCATTTATCATCAAATTTAGATATACGTGAATTAACAGTATATATTATACTTAGAGTCTTCACTAGATAATTCATTCATTAATAGGACATGTAATTTAAATCTATCAGTATTCACTGTTAAAAATGAGAATTTTTTCTAACTGAAATTTGTTAAGAAGTTCAAAGTATCACGATATGAACTTAATTCCTTAAGATTTATTAAAACAGATTTATCGATAAGTGCATTTTTAATGCATTAAAAATAAGAGTCAAGACGAAGACATAGTGCTATATACATTAGTACTGAAAAATTGTACTTCAGTTATCGATTTTTAAACTACGAACGTTTTTTTTCTCTTATAACTAAGACATATTTATAAATATGTATTAAGTTGTATATACAATGATGAAATAAACATTATACTTTCCCCTCCTCCAGGTTTTCAAGTGAAATAAACAAAATCAATCGAACTGAAATTGAAATCTGGAACCAAATTCATAAATTGTTGAACCAGATTATTATCAAACTTTAAACTGTAATACAATAGGGAAACTAAAAAAGTATGCACTAAAACAATACTGTGAAAGAAAAGACGGAAGAGCAATACAGTCAACAATAAATTAGTAATTGAACCAAAAATACTTTATGGTAAGAGATCTAGTTCTCAACGATCGACCTTTGAGTAAATACAACATTTCTCTCGGCAATCTGATTCAAGCTGTTTACAGGAACTGTTTCTTATCTACTCTGAAGAATTGGCTTACATTAACTCACGAAACATCAGAAACACAATTTTTCTACTCATTGGGATATAGCAAAAATATATTTATTAAGTTCGTCTTACTTTTGTGAAGAATGTAAACGAAAACTACAACAGAACATCCACTGGCTTCTATTTTTACTCATGTTACCTAATTTCTCAAGCCAATAAATAAGTTGAACTACCTATGGGATCCCAAATAGAGAGTAGTGCTATACTGACAATCCCAATCTTAGATATCTCATGTTTATACCACGTCATAAAATGACCAACTGTCTGCTCGTTCCACCCAGTCCCAGAGTCGAGAAATAATGCGGAAGTTGATTAGCCTTTTTAGCAGTCATTTGACGAACTATGACTTAAGTAAGATTACCAGTAAAAGCAGCCAAATGTGATAATCAGCTCGTGAGTTTTAAATTTATCAAAACAGATGTGTTGTAAATAAAAAATCCCACAATAGTGAAGCGTAATTAACTCTTTTGGACTCCTGGCTTATCAGATGGACATATCTTTAAAAAAACAAACAAACAAAGAACCTACTAAAATCTCAGCAATTAGTTTAACATTGTAAAGACTTTTTAAAAGTCATGTTTAAAGCAGGAATGTGATTTTCTTTTTACCTAATAATTATATTTTTCCGATTCTTCATAGTGAGTGAAACAATTATAGTCCTAGGATTTATTATGATAGAAGAAATCAATTTCCAAATAAAGTCGTTTATTTAATGGTAATTATTAAGTATGAATGATACTTTTCATTATCAGCTTCTATAAATTAAGAAATTGGTAGAAAAACTCAAGAGGGGGATCATTATTCATTCCATGACTACATAATCACAAATTTGTATAAAATAATTTGATGCCACTTAAATTTTATTGATATTCCATAACAAATATTATCCTGTTGAAAATTATTTATGTAACAGATGCAACTGAATAACCGTAGTAAATTAAATAATGGAATTAAGTAACCAGATATCCAGATTCATGTACTTAACTTTAAGGAGAAAAACATTTCGATCGGACACAGTGATTGATATTTTTTTCTCTATTTGACCATCCAAAAACTGGATTTAACTGAATACAATTTCAAACTGAAACATGATGACTAAAAAAAAGAAAAACCCAGCATAGTAATCATGTTGGATGTTACACAAAAAAAGGGTCACTCATTATTCATCATACGAATCGAACAAGATAAATTTTACTTTTTTTTAACGATTTCATTATCAAAACTGTGTTATTAGGATGTTTTCTAAAAGAAGAGGAGAATTTGAAGTTGTTTACAGAAGCAAACAAACTGCTGGTAAAAAGTAATTATGAATGTGCTAGTGAATTGTTGTCTATTTCCTGATATTTACGTCAGGCATAAAATACTAAGACAGTGGGGAAAAAAAGCTAAAACTTAGTCCGAATTTTCGATTAATAATCATTGATTACATTCAACAACAAAAAAAGGTGATATAATCGAAATGGAAAATATGATTTACTCACTGCATGACTGAATAGAATTGATTGAACTAAACAATAAATAAAATCACTCATATTCGGATTTGAATTGGCTAGTAACGTCTCAAAATCTGGTAGTAGACTGGGACCATTCACAGTTGAAAGATTTAAAGACGTCCTATTGGACTGTGAATTCAAAGTAAGTGTTTGATCATTATTACAAGATAAATAATCCGTAGCTGGAATTGTAGTCGACGACGCTGTTGATATTGTAGGTACTTGAGATGTGGAATCAGACAAGGTATGATTATTGTCACATAATACAGGTGTATTTCTTGTATTCCTTGGAGATATTGGGTGTGAAACAGTAGATGATGGTAAAGAAGAGGTAACATTTCTTAACAATTGTAGCAGTTGAGCATTTGATGTTCGTCCAGTAGGAACTAGAGATGGTTTTAAAAAGTTGTTCTGATGATTTTGATGTGCAGATAAATTTGAGGCTACATTTGAAAGCAGACTAGTTAATCCATGATTAGGTATAATCGGAGGTGGTTGAATAATGTTATTTGACGGTATACAACATGCTGGATTACTCATTGTGTTCATTATATCCAATTTCGATGGGTCAATAGGATTAGATGTCACTGTCAAACTACTAGTGGTATTTGTGTTTGTAGTGATGGTAGACGTACTACTACTATCAGTTGAAGTAATTGTAGTAATTGGTGAATGTAAATACATAGCATATAACCTGTGAACTCCGCCAGTTTCAAAATTAATCCAATAAATAAATTAATGAGTGAACAAGGGAAATAATCAATAATTACACAACTTAGTTTGTTGGAGATAACCTTTACTCTTGTAGTTCACACTCCGTGATCATAAATAATTTAGGTAACAGAGCGCAATTTAATCAGTAATTATGGAATTACGTTGGATATAGAATTGGTATTATAGGTTTACAGAGCAATAAAGTAGATTTGTTGTATTTGTGAGTACGTAGGAGTTTTAGAAAAACTGACGCCGTCAACAACTTGTGAAAATCGGTGCTTACTTTTTTTTTATATCTATCTAAAATTAAAGTTTTGGATTAAGAAAAAAAGACCAATTATTGATAACTATTTAAGCATAAAAACGAAAGAATGAAAGTGAAACAATCGATTATTGAGTCATTCACTAAGCAATGAACCAACGAAAAAACAAAGCTCAGGTGAAAAGTATATACGAAGAGAGAGAGGGAAGTAAACTTACAAAGCATATGAAAAAAGTGTGGTTTGTGAAGAGTAAGAGAGAGAGAAGATCAAAAGTGCATAACACTTCAATCTTGGATTGCTTTAAAAAAACCTTACCTACCCAAAGGTTCATATGATCTTTTCGGATCATCTGAGATGAGCATGCTTTTAGTACATACGCGTGTCTATTTTTTGTGTGTGTAAGTAGTATAAGTGAAGAGAAAAGCATGAGTTCATTTACTGATCTCACAAGGTGGTAATACACACTTTTGGAAAAAAAATATACAAAAGCAAATAAAAGAACAAACAAACAGAAAGATAATGTTTAAATGAATGAGCTTGAGAGAAATAAGTGATTTGAAAGAGTAAACATTATAAAGTTGTGATTATGACTATTATCATAGAAACCTTGATGAGAGTTCGCATATTTGGTACAGGGATATATATTTATTGATACTGGTTACAACAATATAAGTAGTAATTAATCGCACCAAAGAAATAGGATTCATCTTACGCCTAAGTGATATACATTAAAGTTAATAATAATAGTTTCATTCATTCCTATAAATATTATTACGGTAATGGATTTCAGCATTAATTGTGCAATATTGAAAAAAAATCTCTTTGACATACGTTCAAACTAATTATTCGGAACTATATTTTACAAATTTTTTTTTTCATTCATCAATTTCTGGGACTTAACTTCGATAACGACAACTTCCTATCAGTGTTCAAGTGCTACAAGGATTATTTTTCATCCATAAGATGTTAAATGCATGGACTCCAATTTATTCTTCTAGTTCTTTTTTGTTGAGTTAACAAGAAACATATGTCAACAAATGCAGCGTTACGGATGGGATTTCCAGTATTTAGCATCCCAATACTTAATTAAAATGCAAAATTATTCGTTACTAAAAAGTCTAAAACAGAAAGGTAAATTGTGATAGGTAGACCAAACGTCTGAGTTGGGTGTCGTTAGTTACTATGTTGTCATATCCCATAAAATTTTCATTCAGAGATGGATAGGAGTCAATATAAAAACACCTGGTGGTTCATCAATTCAGTTTACTGGTATAGAATGTCAAGGTAAATCCCAATCAGTCGCATACATAAATAAAACTAGGATAAACATATCCATAATCTTTGTATGGAAAACGGTAATCACGATGATATGAAACATAAATAAACAGATTCTTTAGTTCACATCCGAGATAAAGTACCGATCACTAAAACTTCACATGTTTGTTATTACACAATAGGTAGTTTGAGATTGTAAGTTAATGAAACTGCAAGTTAATCTTTTACTCCTACATAACAATTCTCAATAACAAATTACACCTAAGATAATTAGAATGAAAAACCGCTTCTAACTATTTGTTAAAACATAACTTTGGGAATAGGTTTTACTTGGTCATTCAGAGATATAGCGTGGAAACCTAAAATTAAACAGGAGAATAATTCTGTGAAATATTACTCTAATATATTATTATTCAGTGTTGATTGTTGGCAGATCATGTTACAGAACCAAATAATTTTAATAAAACATAATAAACGGTTTTTCCGAAAGTGAAACGAATTCAGTAAGTTTAATGTCGACAACATCCATATTACATTCGGTATAGGAAAACAATACCATGAAGAGAGGTAATTTAAACAGCTACATGAAATGTTTATTTCTGTCACAGGATCTTAAACCAATACTTCTCCAAATTAACAGTCTACCTATTCTGGTAACAAGTGTACTTCTTATTTTTCCATATGGATACATAAAATCTGTCACCCCTACCGGGACGGTAAGATTAAAATGAGATAAACCGCATAGTACATAGTTTATGTAAAATTAAATAAACTTACCGAAAATAATTAAATGTTTCATTAAATGAATAATAGTCCAAATCAGTAAAAATTTATGGTCTGAGAAGAAAAATTAATCCATCAGAGTAGAAATTGTTAACTGTCATGATCTATGTCAGTTCGCCTATATCAACAAAATATGTGTACACACGTATATATTTAAGGACTGTATTTTAACCTGCCTCTAAGCTGGTTACTATACAAATGCCTCAAAAGAGCAGGTCAACTTTAGGTGACAGGCTAAGCCGCCCCTGATATGCGAGCCAGTTCACACAGGTGAGTGTGAGATAGACAGTCATCTATTAACAGCGATATGCGGGCTAGCCAAAGAGAGATGGCCTGAACTCTGACTCCTATTTGTCGTAACAACCGCAAACAGGCCAGACTAATGTCAAATAAGACCTTAATGTGGGGGCGTGTTGGTCGTTAGATTACGCTCTTACATGTCAGCTAGGTAGGTTGTGCAAATATATCAAACACCCCTGCTTGGCTAGACAGACATATAACACATGGACTTCTTGGTGGCCTTTAGCATAAATTAGTTAGGGCTATAATGGCCTCAATTAACAGTTCACAAAGTTCAGTTAACATTCCGATCTGTGTAATTGGCTATAGGATGGACCATTAGGATTAGGGGAGGGGGTGGAGTCAAGGCCATTTAAGGAAAAACACTAGACATCTTAGTCGATTCCGAAAATAATCGTACACTTGATTGTGATTTATGCATTATGCGATTATTTTGTAGTTTATCATGTAGTTAAGATAATGAAAAGGACATTTTTCAGTTAGATTTTAATAGGGTGGTGAGTACTCGTCTTTTTATTATAAAAATAATATGATTTATTAGGCAAACCACGGATTAGTTAAGATTTTACCCTACATTCTATTGGTTGCTTATCTTACAACGGAAAAGTTAAAATGATTTTGACAGTTTTATCAAGCTATTTACAATTTTTGTCAGCCGGGAACGTTCTGACTAGTTTCATGATTGTGAATGCAATAATTAGTAATATACATAGAATTCAAGTGGGTGAATATGTTTATACTAGACAGGTAATGAACAAAATCCCCTAATGTTTATATATGTATGTATTTATATCCTCTTTGATGTCAAGATTTTAATAAGAACTAATCATAGAACTTGTGAGCTCCTGATAATTGGCGTATGATGAATGGATTGTATCGTTTAACAAGTGTATGGTCCACCAGTTAGCTCGAAACGTTTGTGTTATATAAATCTCTACTTTTATTTTATTTTATTTTTGGTAAATAGAAATCCTCAAAATGAGTAAAGGTGGATTTATGTAACATCAAACCTTGACTCTTAAAACGATCTTGTAACTTATCCAAAAATATTGGTGAAATATAACCTGTGACGAATGAGACCATTTGACTGGAAAATCGGAAGAGAGCCTTCGTCAAGGATTAACAATAACTTGACAACCAGGGAGTAGGTTTTTCGTCCTAATTTAGGACTCATCAGTTGTACGTATCTCTAATCTTCGTAGGGTCGAACTGAGAAATTTTATGCCTTGGAGAAAGCACATCTTTAAACTTTAGATTCATGACCCAGTAGTCTGTTTCCGACTTTGTGATAGCGAAAACCATTCAACGCTTTTTCTGACACGCTTTATCACTATTAACCATCAAAAGCCTGGAAACCCTGGACGGCCGTTTCGTCGCAGGATCAAATTTCTTAGCAGTGCTTACCCACGACTCTGTATGCGGGATTCGAACCCAGGATTGAGGATTCCCATACTAGGACGAAACGGCCAACCAGTGCTTCCAGGACTCTAGTAGTCGGTCCATGATCTCAATGCAATTCAACAATCTCCACAACCCCAAACTGAATGTTTAATAATTGCCGTTGATAGAAACACTTGTCCATTAAATTCATTATTATCATCTTATACTTTGACTCCATTTATTTCAAACCATGATTTTCGGCAAGTATCACATCGTTCCCATGACTTTTAATGCTAAAACAGAACGAATAACTGCTCTTTTTTTATACCGACTTCGTAATGGTCATGTGATTAGTTCGAGGTAACTTCATGTAAAGCCTATAAATCGCCGTTAAGTGACTGCATGTTTCGGCATATATACATATCAGTATAGGGTTGTGGAGATTGTTAACTTTAGATTGATATCATGAATGGATGAATGTTAGGTCACTATCGAAAACCTGGAAGCATTGGACGGCCGTTTCGTCCTAGTATGGGACTCAGGAGTGTACATCCGCGATCTCGCACGCGGGAACCTAACCCAGGACCTTCGGTCTCGCTTGCGAACGCCTAGCCTCCATATCAGTGGGTCGGCATCCAACAGTGTTAATATCTAACTTCAACCAATCCACGATGTTGCATGACCACCCACCACTGTCTTCAGCAAGTAACTGCCTCACAACAGACACGACTGAACTCCATTGGCCACGGCTTCTCACTAGAACTCCAGGAGATCTATCTTGAGGCCAGTCACTAGTGTGCACATGATAATTATCGGTATAAGTTTGTGAAGCTCACGATTCCTTTGTTCAGTTCTTATTCAAAACTCGATATCAAAGAGGATAGAAATATAATACATAAGAGGATTTCTTATATAAATCAAGGTAAATAACTATCAATGAAATTTTATGTTGAATATATTGATGGCATGTGTTTTAGTGTTGTTTGGGACTTACCAGTTAGATGTACGTGCATCCTACTGTTGATGCTCACATCGAGACTCGAATCCAGTATCTTACGACTAAAACTCCAATGCGTTATCTACTGAGCTATTAAGTTCAGGTTTTCACTAAATTGTTGAATACATATGATATTTATATTATCATTAAAATTGATTTGAATCACTCTGGATTTAACTGTTCACCACAATCTATATATTCAAAAATCTTGCTACGTGACAGATTTATTGTAGTAGTTCACACCAGATTCACACGTATCAACAAAAACTGGTCAAAAGTCAGTCCTAAATATGGAAAAATCAGACAATTCATATCCTTACTGTTTATGATATAAATTCATCGAATTCTCAACTTTTGTCGATGAACCATAAACTATGAAGATTTATTACTTGAAGAATTCACTTCAAAGTATTCAAGAAACCTATCCAACTAAAATACCCTTCTATATTAATTATTTGTTCATTCAGAAAATAATCAGTAATGCTAACACTACCGGTTCCCAAACATTGCAAAACTTTCTGTGTTTTGTTAGTTTTAAATGTTTAGTCTAATTGACCTTGAATAATATGAAAGCCATATTATCATTTTCTCTAATACAAAAAAGACGGTGTATCAGTATCTCTTCGATAACAATCGTTAATTCCAAAATATTGAAATTAATGAAAAATGTGCTAATCAACATGGTTTATCATTAAGACCTGGATATTTCTTAGAATCTTGGACAAAAACTCGACTATGTTAGATTGTCTATGGATTACATAACCAACATTTTCTACAGAGTTTTTAGATTTTTCGAAAATTTGTCCTACATCTATAATACATAAATTTGTCAAAATAAAAGTGTAGAAATAATAAGATTTTTTAACGGTGTTGGTTTACTGAAAAAAAACTTGACATTTTTTCTACATTTATAATCTCATTTTTACATTCTGAATACTTTCACAGGATTTAATCGGTATGCATGATAAATGATTTTTAGTTTATACATTTACCAGGTATTCTTTTTGAAAGCTTTCATTGAAAAGAATGAGAATTTCATGACTGTTTAAAACACCTTAAAATTTACGAATGTTATTGACTTACTGATCCAAAAACAATATCAAAATTCAGGTTATGAAATCAAATACTTTCATTTACAACAATAAAACAATGCTCAGAATTAAAGAAAAATAAGCTGATCATCATCACTTCTTGCAACAAGTTAACATTTTACACATACACACATGTTTTATTTACTACTATTATGAGTACAAATTGTTTCAATTCACAATATAACTATCAATCATGGAATAAAAAAACAGAGTAACAGTTCATTTAACACCAAGTGTTTAATCGCTGTAAAATTCCCATTATATTAAAACACAATTTTATGAACGAAGAATATTCTTTTCAAGTGTTTAGTTTCTACTTGATGCTGAGGTTGTTAGACTATGAAATTAATTAAATATGTGTAATTCTATGTACAATGATCATATTTGTATATGAATTTTTTCGAAGAATTTTGGTAATAACAAATAATTTTTCCACAGGGTTGGTAATTGTAAGTAAATAAAAGAGGAGTCATAAATTAGTATAAAACGACTGTCCAATATTTCCAGGTTCTCAATGCTTGTCTAACTTAGATCAGTTCGTGATCGCAATAAAAGTAAACCAACGTAGATAACAGCAAAATGTAAACAAACGACCTTCAAGTTATTGACGAGATAGACTACTGGATGAGCTGAGATACGAATACTCGACCTTAGTTTATCAATTGTTCAGTTTGAATATTTCGAGACTAAGTAGTGAACAACTTGGTTAGCTGTTGAACCACACAATCGCTTAGAGTAACTTTCAATTCGTGATAAAACCTGTGTCATTACATCAATGTTCGATATCTCTATTTGTCTAATTGTTAGAACTAGTGGGTCATTAGCGCATATTGTTGGGGAATTTAGAAATAGGAGAAAACAATTACTTACTGCTCTATGGCTTATAATGCATCAGTAACTTGTATAAGTTCCCAACAGAAATTACCTCCATATATATATATATATATATATATATATATATATATATATATAGAGAGGAGAGAGAGAGAGAGAGAGAGAGAGATTAACCATCCTAGCCAGTGATTACATGATTGTTATAACACATTATTTCGAATAGGAAAAAAATAGCTGAAGGATCCCACTTGGAAATGTTGAGATTTGAATAAATTGTCTAAATATTTGTTTAATACAAATTTATAATAAATGAATTAAATTTCATTTTATTCACATCAATTGGGACATTTGGGATATCTAGTGCCATACGAACAAATTAAATATGTCCTTTTACAGCCAGTGATTTAAAGTTAATATGGATATCAATATATTGTATCGTTTTTTTAGTGCGTTTAATGGATAAATATGTAAGTAATATTTATCACACGAAAGCACACGTATGCACATTTATAATCGATTATATTATGAAAGTATACTCAGATATGTACCGACAGTACTTGCCAGTTGATTAATTAAACATCTAATGATTAATAAACACATTATAAAATCACTTAGTTAACTGATGACCATTAATATTTGAGGTTATTGTGTAAAATACACTTGTTTACGGAAATAGATCAGTTTAGCATGACTTCGTGAAATTCAGCAACCTGTTGAATAAGCTAGACTATAGATAGTTTGTGATACTAAGAGATATTCTATAACTTCACAGTATAATGGAAATTAAATTTCAAAAAGAAATATTAGGACAAAATCTGAAGAATCAATGAAAAATATGAAACTTTGAACAGTAGATTCTTTCCTGTTTCAATCTTCAGTGATCCACGTAATATAGTAATATACAAATCATTAGTCAACAGAATCTTCAAAAATATGTTTCAAATGACAAAGCAAATGCTGTGATATTCCCGATCAACTAAAATGAAGAGCAGAAATGAAGCTCAGCTGGTATTACTGGGTGATTATATGCCTCATACAAACAAAAAGTGATGTTTGAGTTTCAGTTCTTTGAAAAATAAAGCGCTTATCGTCATCGTGAATAAATATCAGTATATGTGTATGTATGTAATTGCAAGTGAATACTCTCAAGATTGAGTAAATATTGTATTCGGTATTGTCTAATTATTAACATTTTGAAATAAATATTATTTCATGACATAATCTATATTCACATTTAGTTGTTGCTCACAAACAACCCTAACTAATAATTTTGTTCATGGGCTTTAGTGATGGCTGATTTAATTTTTAAGTTGTATTCATCTCATCATAGGTTGATCTCATTTGAAGAACTACTAAGAATAAGAGAGCACTGAACAGCTGCTTCAACCTAGCAGCCACCTAATCCTCTTAGGTTTGTAATAATACACCGAATGTGATTAATCTCTGACAAATATAGATTACAAAATAATATATTTTTGAAGAGTTTAACTGTTTAAATTACTAAAGGTTATGTGACATATTTCATTTAATTTCTTAAGACAGCAAACTATTGTTTCATGTAAAAAAGAAAAAAAAACTCGTCAGAAACAGTCAACTCTGATCCTGCTGTTAGTGAAATTAAATAAAATCGAAAGTATTGTTTAACATTTTTCTTCCAACGATTGAAAGATACTATATATCGAAAGAAAACTAATTGTAATCATAAAAGGAATCAGGATTTCATATAATTTATGCATCCAATTAAAGTAATAAGTAACTGTTAAATAGTGATTCTTTTTTAAAGGTCATCTAGATTGTGAAGACGAAGTATGTATTGGTGTGCTCTGTAGGTGAATAGTTACGGAATATTCATTATACTTTCGGATAATTTATTTTCTTTTGAACTTCAACTTAATGTCTAAGACCATAATATAGATTTTGCAATAATTCGATAATATTAAATTTTAGTGACTTAAATAATTTTCCTTACTAAGCTGGCCTTTATTTATTTTAATATGTTTTTAAAGTAATGATTACAAAAAGTTAGTGAGTCAATACAACATTCAATCAGGTTACTATTTGTAATCAGATCAATAATCATAAAAGAATGATATACAAATCAATTAAGGTGGTTATGTAGAAGTAACATAAGCTTATATCAACATTAAACCATTGTTAGGTTTTATCTGCTTACCATTGAGAAATCATCAATATAGATTTACAATCGTTCATTGTGAAAATGATGTTAGGCTAGCAAAAGACTCCACAAATCTCCTGAACTGATTATCAACTGTATGCTTACATCAGTGACTAATTGGGATTAAGATATCTACGCGTTTTAATTAATAGTTCAGTCCGCGAAGTTTACTAAATTGAAAATGGGGTGATAAAGCATTGATGATACTGGATAAGAATAACAAAATGATTGAAATTAAAAAAAGTGTGAAGTATTGAATTCTGAATCAATAATTAACTGCTATTTTTAATCACGTCTGTGCCTTAAGATTCTAGCTTCAAAACCTGATCTGGGAACATAACTACACTACAAGACTGTTATTTAATGTTCCTTGATTTTCAATGACTACTTAATTTATGTCAGTTTATGATTAAAATTACTCTCATATATAAAATCGTTTGATGATAGTATTTCTTTAATATCGATGATTCGAATTATTTAATCGTTATAAAAAGGCTGAATACTTGATTCCAGTTTAATGTAACCTCATACCAATAATGTATACCATAAATATCCTCTTATTTGTAAAAATGTTTATCAATTGTCATTGAATTTCAAATTAAACTTCTAACTGAAGTATGGATTGATGATATTGACGTATAGAAAAACTGAGTCCGGTACTAGAACGAAACGGTCGTCTAGTGCTTCCAGGTTTTCAATGGTAGTCTAACATTAATCAGTTTATGATTTTAATGAAAAAAACATGTCAGTTAGTTCATATCCATCTTATGGAGCATTGTACCACCAAAAGTTTGGTATTTGTTTCACATTGCATTACATTAGAAAACTCCTCTACTTTTGATTATTTGATTATCTTAATCTCTCATGTGTGTTATTGTTAATTATTATCGATCAGTTCCATCAATAAATGCAAGCACAGTCAATATACTTAATGAGTTGTCGACTTACTTTCCTCTTATTCTTCCCTCTCTAACATTCATTACTCCAGCATGCAATTTACATTCAGGCAAGATTAAAAGCTGAACTCGACACACACATAAAAACATGAACTGATCTATATAGTCGTTATACTTATTGAATAGATTAATAAATAGGTGATTATTTCGAAAAATAGTTTGCATATTTAAAACAAATTTATGATCGATATTTCCATTTAAATAAATCAAAGGCGAAAAGGTGAAAAATGATACCTTCATTATTTTTTTTTATTATCAACAACAACAAACATAACGTTGAATTCAGTCAGTATGTTCATTTTGTCTGATTATCCTTTTAAAAATGAAATTATCATTTAAAACAGGTTTAATGCATTTCTGGTAAAGGCATGTTTACGATTGACTGTTATTGATCTATTAGTCAAGATCAGGTTTGTTTTGTTTTTTTCATTCCATAGTTTGTAAGTGTGATAGATCAAATTTTGGTAACACATTTTAAAGAGTATGATAAATGGACTATGAACTATGGATTATTATTATTATTATTATTATTATTATTATTATTATTATTATTATGGTTACATGATTACATCAGGAGCAATACACGAATTTTGAGATTTGTTGAAAATATCTTTTATTTGAGAAGAGTCTATTTTCTGCACTTTATGAATGACATAGTTTTTCACTGTTGGCATTGTGATATATATGTTCTTGTTTTTTCAAATAATAACTTCCATCATTTATATTACGTAATCAGATACCACGAGACTTTTTTACCATACTAATAAATGACAAAATCATGTTTTCCACAAACATAATTAGATTTTTTTGAAGCATTGTTCATTTTAACATATGTAAAAAAATGATTAGAAATCAGGGTTATATCTTAATGTGATGTTGTGTGAATGTGTGTTTATTGATGTGAAGTTATAAAAGTATTGAATGAAACAACTATCTCATACTACTTACTTACTTACTTACGCCTGTTATTCCTAATGGAGCATAGGCCGCCGACCAGCATTCTCCAATCCACTCTGTCCTGGGCCTTCTTTTCTAATTCCATCCAATTATTGTTCATTTTTCTCATGTCTATCTCCATTTCTCGGCGTAATGTGTTATTTGGTCTTCCTCTTTTCCTTTGACCTTCAGGATTCCATGTGAGGGCTTGTCTTGTGACGCAGTTCGGTGTTTTCCTCAATGTGTGTCCTATCCACTCCCAGCGCTTCTTCCTAATTTCTTCCTATCTCATACTACTTGGTTCCTAAATAATTATCAGTTGAGATTAATCTAATAATGACATTTATCTTCATATTTTATGTTTATTAATCAATTGGTAACTTGATTTTGTGAGCACATTTAAAGAGTTTATCATCTTTTAGTTTAAAAAGTGTATAGATCAAAACATAAGGTTTAGCTTTGTACAAGATGTTGAATACTTAAATTTCATTTGTTAAATGATCAC